TGTGTGTGTGTGTGTGTGTGTGTGTGTGTGTGTGTGTGTGTGTGTGTGTGTGTGTGTGGCGCGCGCGCGTGGCGCACGTGTGTGTGAATAGCGTTTCAAAATCTGGGTAAATTTCCTCGTTTGTTTTAAGAGATACACATCATGTGTGTATTGATATTATACTATATATTGCAGGTCTGTGTGCTGTAGTTAGGCTTTTCGGTACGGCCTGCCCTTCTGGCTTCTTCAATTCTGGTCGTTTTTGTTCAGAATGGCTTGTAAACTACAGCTCAACGACGACATTATAATATTAAGTGGCTGCTCCAGTAGTTTTACCTTCTGATTTCGGTGAAACTGTCTGCAAACTAGTCAAATAAAACGTAAAGTTTGTGCCATATATGGCCATTTTTTTTTTGGGGGGGGGGGTGTCTTGTTCTATGAATAGCGGATGGTTTAAGATTGTACAACTGCAGGCACGTCCCTTTTCTTTTCTTTCATCCTATTGTTTCAGTTGGTCTGTCTTGCTTTTCCCGTGCACTGAATGACCACCTCTGGGCCGAAGCGAATGGGGTTGTTGTTTTTTTCAAACTGTGACTCCCTATATAAATCATAACTTCTTCCCAGCGTCGGGTGTGCTTGACTGTGCATGCCTCATGCTGCTCAGCCAGCTGTTGATGGATTTTCCACCACGAAGCTCCCCTGTTTGACTATTGACTGACAATATCATCAATAAATTGTTATCATGATTCTTGATACATGTATTATCCTGAGGTATATGATAACAATTTATTATGAATCATCAGTCAAACTGGGGAGGATTTTTTGCTTTTAACCAAAAAGAAAAAAATTATAATAAAAACATTAAAATAAAATTTAAAAAAATTAATCAACAAAACACCTCCAGCTTGACTGTTAAAATATTTTTTTTTAAATGGTATCTTGATTATTGATATTATCTGGTCTGTGCTGTCATCGTCACTGTCAGTAATTTGTGTGTACCTTGTCTGATTTTGTTTTAATGTTTCTATAGACACGGGTGGTTCAAAGGTGCACTGTACTGATTCTACATGTTAAGTTGTTGACTTCATGTGTCAATCTTATCACAGCATTTATTTGACATGTGCAAGCAGCTGCAAGCGCCGTAAAACTTTTACCAAACTAAAGCTAACTTTATCATTTAAACAATCAATGTTTTAACGCTGCGCGCGGTGAAGGTTCAAGTAGATAATATCTGCTTTGACACCACAGAGTTGAGGGAGAGGGTGAGGTCTGAGTCTGAGCGGATGAGAGAAGGATCCACGGGGAGAGGAGAGAGAGAGAGAGAGAGAGAGAGAGAGAGAGAGAGAGAGAGAGAGAGAGAGAGAGGGGGATTCAGGCAGGCAGACAGGGAGAGAAGGAAGGGGGCGGGGATGTAAGACAAGAAAGAAGAAAGCCGGGTGGAGGATAGAGAGACAGACAGACAGACACACACATAGAGACAGACACACACACAGACACACTCACAGAAAGACACCCAGAGCAAGGGAGAGTGAAAGAAGGGAGGACGGATGTTATGAAGAAACCAGAGTAAAAGGGGGAAAATAATAGGGGAAACGAAGAGAGAAAGAGAAGGAGAGAGAGAAGGAGGGAGAGAGAGAAGGAGAGAGAGAGAAAGAGAGAGAGAGAAAGAGAGAGAGCAAGAGAGCAAGAGAGAGAGAGAGAGAGAGAGAGAGAGAGAGAGAGAGAGAGAGGGAGAGTAATCGAATTCTACGTACAAGAAGGATGACTTGATGACTTACCTTAATGAATGTAATTGGTTTTAGCTATTGAGTTGGAAAAAAAAAAACCCAGCGCGGGACGAGACAGAAACTTAGTCCTGGGTAACCCCGGCATGTCGGGGTTTTCGTTTTTCAGAGCCGGAATAAAATTATACGTTGAACGAGAAACCGAGAAACACATTAGAAGTGAGGTGAGGACAAAAGGATATGTATGGGGTTAAAAGGATATCTGTGTGGGTTTAGTGTTTAGGGTTGTTGTTGCTTTTTTTTTTTTGGGGGGGGGGGGGGGGGGCATTTGTGTGTCGGTTTTTTTTTAGTTCCCCGGATTTTTGGTTGTTTTTGGGAACCTCCCTTCCTTGCCCCCATTTTGGGGTTTTTTTGGGGGATGGATCCTTCTTTGGGGGGGGAATTTTTTTTTTTTGCCCCCCCCCCTTTTTTTGGCGTATTTTTTTTTTAAAAAAAATTTTCGGGGGGGGGGGGGGGGGGGGGGGCATTCCCTCCCCTTCCCCTTCCTCTTCCTTCCCCCCTCCTCCCCCTCCCTCCCCCCTACCCCGGACAAACTACAACAACCAAATCATGCGAAATAAGACAGTAATATACAGTCCCAAACATGCATATTATTTATATAATATACTCAGAGGTGAAATGATTAGTAATGTGGATTGCAGTAGACTGGCGAATTGTTAAGTGGCAGATCGTCAAGTAGAACAGAAACATCGTGTAGATAGTCAAGCTGAATTTGAACAGGAGCATCCCGATCAACCGTCAAATTGAACTGAAACATTGCGATAATAACTGTCAAATTGAACAGAAACATTCCGATAACTGTCAAGTTGAACAGAAACATTGCGACAGACCATCAAGTGGACCGACACCAACCATTAATTTTTAATCTGGCCTAATCCTTATATCATAGCGTGTTCCCAGGGACAGGTTGGCCACGGCATGGTGACCCAAGGGTAGGCGGGGTCAAGTCAAAGACTTTCGCGCTGTTTGCTTTTGGTCACGTGAGTTGGTTTATATATGACGTTGTCATAAGCTGGTATCATAATAGTTCCCACGCTCCCTCCCCTTTTGGGTGAGATCTTTCCTTTTGGATCTATACAAAATCCAGTTGTTGTTGTTCTTGGATTGTGACATAGCAATGCGTATATTGTAGTGTTAGAAAACAGCTTTTGTCACGATGACTTTACATGATTCTGCAGTGTACATTCAATAGATACTACGTTGTAATAGAATTAAGCTACCGGACTCGTAATCGTGAGGTTGCGAGTTCAATTCTAGGCTCAGCTCGGGCCGGCATTGTGTCCGTAATAAAGAAAGGCGCTTTACACGAATTTTTGCTCACTTCACCCAGGTTTTCTGAATAGGTGCTGGGCTATTGACAGCGAAAGATCTTATTGCCACCCCCCAAAAAAAAAAAAAATAAAATAAAATAAAATAAAATAAAAATCTGCACATCTTTCCACCCTTTGTAAATGAAACCCATCCCACCTCACCACGACCATAGGCAAACCCGAATTCCCCATTCAGACGCAAGGAAGGCGCTGACTTTTAGGTTAAGTAACAATTTTACGGCACTTGCAACACAATATTTATAAGTACCGAAGATTAGAAGTGTTACAAGGGTAACAGTAACAAACGCACACATTAAAAAAATAAGGAGGAGAGACCAGGACGATAGTCTGATAGTTATTTGATGGGAAAGAAGGAGCAAACAACACCAGAGCACCCTTCAATCACCCTGGACGCTGACTTTGATTGTTGGAGTTGAAACATACCAGGACGTGAGGGAAATCTTCCTTAATCAGGCTCTGGTCTCCAAATTGGCGCGGTCAGCAGACATCACAGAGCTTGTGGTTCTGTCTGTTTGGCGCATACATCTGATTTGTGATGTTCTTATACTACGTTGTGTGGATGTGGATGTTTGAGTAGGAATTAGGGAGGGGTGGGGAGAAGAAGAAGAAGAAGAAGAAGAAGAAGAAGAAGAAGAAGAAGAAGAAGAAGAAGAAGAAGAGGAAGGAGAGGAGGAAGGAACAGAGAGAGGATAGATAGATAGAGGAACAGAGAGAGCGATAGATAGATAGAGGTAAATAGACAAAGAGAGAGAAGAGAGAGAGAAAAAAAGAGAGAGAAAAAAAGCGAGAGAAAGAGAGAGAGAGCGAGAGAAAGAGAGAGAGAGAGAGAGAGAGAGAGAGAGAGAGAGAGAGAGAGAGAGAGAGAGAGAGAGAGAGAGAGAGTTGGGGGGGGGGGTCGCTTTGCCCTGGCA